GACGTTGGTATTGAGTCACTGATGAACTGGACAGTCCCCAGATCAAGCACGGTGATGGGGAGGAAAGTGGGGAATGCGCGTTGTGGTGTTCTCCCAAAGAGTGTGAGGGCAAGGGGTAATGCATCCAAGCATACGTTATCTACTATGATGTAAGGTGATGATTTTGCACATGTATGTCTGTCCTATATCCTTGTTTTTCGTGTATTATTGGGGTAAGCAACAACCATTTGTTGTATTATGTTACTATAAGGAACAGCACCCAACTGGTAGTCAGTCCAAAAAATATAAACTGGTAGGCTAAATCGCAGATGAAATGGGCTCCTGTAAGTTGGTTCCTGAACTCCAATGATTAACAAATCCAAGCTTATTATTTAAGATTTGTAAAACCAGAATATTTTACATATTCTTCAAGACCCCCTCCTTCTGAGTTCGTCTCAGGTCCCTTTTGTTAGCTTACGCTACCCCCCATCGTTCAGGTAGCACACAGTATAATACCTGTGAAGCATATAATACCATAATTCCTTCGTAGGTTTCACAGAATATCAATGTTTTTGTTTTGTTTTGCTTCCCATAACTGTACCTTGTGGTTATGCAGTATTTACAAAAATACACAGGCTCATACATTTTATAACAACTTTCTGTTAATCATATGAAATCAGCTCTCAAGCATTAGCAGTATGACTTGCACTTAAAAAGCACTGCACTGTGAGTGCTTATTACAAACCCCCCCTCTGCCTTTGCTGACCAATCTGCCACAAAGCTGAGAAAACTGAAAGCAGCAGAAACTGATGAGAGTATTGTCCTTCACAATACAGGCAAAATTTAAGGTCTCACACATAGATAGTACGGTCTCACAAAGATCAATCACTACCTGCTACTTCCTTGTAATCATGCCTTTTATTGTATTCACTGAAAGTTTTGGGTTTCCATGTTATCAGGGCCCTCATTACACAGGTATGACAGGATTGTTGTCATGATGTTGTATAAAAGGAATATTGCATGGTAACCCACCTTATATACAATGATGCATAAACATGCCATTGTCGACCAGGCATGTCCCCACTCACAAAATAATGACTCTGACATCTTTGCAAACTCTATAGTAATATTGCAAACTCTTACAGTCAGTAAAAAAATCCAGAGAGGTTCCAGAGTATGCTGTATTTTTGGTTGTAGCCTGAAGGATGAGCTGAGCTAGTGTACATATAACACTGCTGTTTATTTTTAGTATTCAGGATGATATATATATATAGTATGAGATATATATATATACAGGCTTGTGGTGACCCTTGAGATAACAGATCTGAGGAAGATGGCAGGGCAGCTGGAAAGATTGTGTTCGATGTCAGTAGTTATTGACAGCCAGACAGTGTTTTAAGCCATGCTAGCAGCATGGCTCTAGGGATGGCAATGTCAGTGTGTCGGTCAGTTCAGCACCTTGGCCCCGACTGAAATATCTTAAAAACTACTTGATGGATTGCCATGAAATTCTGTACAGACAGAGGATGAAGCCTTGTGACTTTGATGAGCCACTGATGTTTCCTCTAGTGCTACTAGCAGGCTGACATTTTTTGGCTTTTCTTGAAATTTCTTGACAAATATTGGATGGGTTGCAATGAAATTTTGTATAGACATTTATTGTTGCCAGCTGATGAATCCTAATAATTTTAGTGATAAAATATATACACCACCAGGTTCATATTTGTAGTTTTGAGGGTTTTGACACATATTCATGTCCCCATGCCTCTAAAGTGTAATAAAACTTTGGTAATCCATTCACTTCACCTCGCACCATCATCAGGTCAAAATTTTAATTTCTTGTGTTTTACTATCAGGGGTAGATCTAGAAAAATAATCATGGGGGGACCTGATTTAATGGCAAACAATCAAATATATCAATATTTGCTTGGAGAACCCTCCACATGAAGATGTCTTCATTTTAAATTACATTATAATGGCAAATTAGTAAAGCATAGTATAGAAATACTTAATTTATTTAATTTCATTCAACTTAAGCCTATCACTTAGTCCAAAATGTGATAATAACAGATCAAATTAAGTTCCATTTTTGAACACATTATTTTTAAAGTTAATCTAAATTGATTTGTTAATTTTGACACCAAACTGGGGTGGCAAGGCCTCTACATCTGCCCCTGCTTACTAAATACCTGCAAAACATTCTTATCAGCCCCAGCTGCACTTTGTGTTTAACGCTAATTACAACTCAACCTAAACTAAGATGGCAAACATGGTAATTATACCTGCTAAACATCAGCATGTTAACATTATCATTGTGAACTTGTTAGCCCGCTCGGACTGCAACCTCACAGAGATGACTCTTAGTCAGTTCCTCCAGGTTCTCCAGGGTGTGCTCGCTGTTTGTGCCATATAAAAAAGGTTTAAAATAACTGAATTAGGTCGTGTTTGTTGTCGTCGTGTTTAAATCTAAGAAAACATCTTCTTAGGTGAACGCTGACACAAGTAAAACCAAGTGTATGAGGGCGGCTGTACATTTGGTGGGAGGAAGCGTACATGAGCACGAAGGGCAATTTAGCTCGACAATTAAAGCATCTATCTCTAATTTGGATCTCCCCTGGTGAGTTAAGTGGGGGCGCTCAAGATAACAACACCAAGGGCTCATTAACGTCACTTCAGACATTTCAGAGGAGGTACTCTCTCCAAGCCTGTCTCGTTTAGACTAAAGACACATGCAGTGACTCACGCGCACGCTGACCCGTACACTGACCCAAACACGCACACACACACACACAGACCCACAAACATGCATACGCACTCTGCAGTTGCCTGATAAGCCTCACGCCTCACCAACTGGCCCCCTGCAAATGTCAAGCTGAAGCCATCTCAGTTTACTGATAGGGAGTGGGTGGGAGTGAATGAATCAAAATTTCCTTCAGTTACATGTGCATACACTGGAGATTAGCTTAATTAAAACAAGTCTGCAGTAGAGGCATAATCTTTCAAATCCCTCTACTTACACATGGTGAAAAGAGGTACAGTAGAAAATCTCAAAATATCCCCACAGCCGAGTCCAAGAGACGAGGCTTGCGTCAACAAAAAGCAGCTTACGGCGCTTCTCAGAGGAATGCTTATCTTCAAACTCTGGACCTGCTTAAAGTCAGGGAGGACATGAGATGAAATGTGAGTCAAAGGTTCAAGCGTACAGTCCAGATGCTGTTTCATCACAAATTAAAACACACCGGCCCCAGAGTGTCCTGTTGGGTAGGTTGTTCAGCTAAAGTCACCATCAAAACCATAACCATACACCCCTGAGGAGGGGTTTGTATCGCTTACACAATAGCTTGAGTAAGGATCACCCTGTTTTGCAGGATGAGGCGAAGACAGCGGCTGCCAAGAGAATTTATCTATGTTTGTGACGGTTTTGGGCTTACCCCGGTTGCCAGTGTGACTCTGACCTCGATAAATGCCTCATAAAAAGATGGCTAGATGGCTAAATAAGGGATTCCTTTCCATCTTTGCAATATGATGCAATAATTAGTTTCATTTGCTAACATTATGGCATGACTCAAGTACTTAATGTTCTGGGAAAGAAGGCGGGAACAGCAAACGCAAACAAACTGACTAAATGAATTGTGGGGCATTTTTTTATTTCACTCTCTTCACTTGCACATTTTGAAACGGTAAATGCTGTTGAATTTCTGGCTCAATCTTCAAGGTTTCTTAAGCGTTTTTATATAAGAATGATTTTGGTTTGTGTTTCTCCCCGAGGACTTTAGAAAAAGTACAGATGTTGCAGACTCTCGGGCGACGTTCAGTTCCAATGGTTTCAGCAGTGAAAGCTGTTTCTCGCAGACCGGGGGCGTTTGTCTTTGACATTGTGACATGAAGTCTCTAATTTGACGATGTGCTCATACACCCTGCAAGAAGAAAACAGCCTGTGCTAGTGCTCAGCTGCCCTGTGGCTCGGGTGACCTCTGCTTAGGCATGGACCCTCAGTCTTAATTGTGTCTGGAGGAATTCTGCTGTCTTAAGAGAAGCTTAAGTTTAGACCAGAGGGCTTCCTGGCCTTTTCTGCATAGAGCAGTTACAACAGGATGTTCTAACACTACACAGTGTGGCAATCTAGTCTCTTTCTGTCATTTTAATCAACTTTACACTATTACACCAATTTACAGCTCACAGCAAAATGTTGAATTTAATTGAGCTTCGAGTGGCATTTTGAGAGGAAACATTGGGCTGACATTCAGTTTTGTGAGCTTCAGTGAATGAATAAAAGTGCATTTTAACATGGTATCCGTATTTACATTTCTTCACACTGTCAAAACTTTTGTTCTTGAACTCTTTACTTGGCAAACTATGTTAGAGACAGTTTTGGACCTTACGTGGCCCATGTCAAAGGCGAATTATGTCCAAAGAATTTCACAATATCAAAGTGAGCTCTTAAGAAAACAGAAAACTATATTGGTTTTTACAGTTTAGGCCTGGAAGCTATTTTCTTGTCTCTGACACTTGTGTCGCCGTCACAGCAGAGCCTAATTTGCCCTGGATTACTTTTCGACACTGATCTAAGCTTTGTCATGATACGTTCTAACACCCGTCCCCTGACTTTCTCCCGCTATATCTCAGCGTCTCCACACCCATTAGAGGGAAAAAACACATCTCTCCTTTGATTGTGAAACACAATCATCTCCCGCTTCATTTGGCATTTAACACAGCTGTGATTTCCTCTCCCTTTCCCTCAGTGATCATCTCTGCGTTGATTGCCTCTAGCTGAGCTGGCGTGGCTCTCTTGTGTGTAACATTTGCAGGACTAAAGGCTGGATTCACTGGAAAATGAGAGATCAGAACAGCTGATCAGGGAATAGATGAGGTGAGTGACATTAACCACATAATGTGTGAGGAAATGCAAAAAATCCAATTTTTTAATGAAAAATCATGGACATTAAAAGTAAAAGCAACAGCAATAGATGTTCCTTAAGCCCACATCTAGCTATTTAAACGTTGTTTAAGTTTCTCTTTATCATCTGTGGAAACATACAGAACATTTGAACAAGTGTTGCATGCATGAATTAAATAAATAAATCTTTACAAATGAGCACGTTAACAGTTACATGATATAATTATACACCTATCTATCAACAGCTATATTCTTTAATAGACACACAATATGGTGTATGTAGACTACTTTGACTGTGTTCAGACACCAAGATTCAATATCAAATGTACAGTTTATACACTAACAATATGCCAAGTATAATGGGCTGATATGACATGGTTTTCCGGATCATCACACTGAGACACAATACATTTTGTGACACTGCCATTCAACACAAGCATAATCTCATTTTGGCGTCCAATATTTGACAAATTAGCATTTCTTGGGACAGAATATATCTCCTCAGTCACTGAAGCACAACATCTTATCATACAAACAGCATGAGAAAACATAAATCTAAACAGCACATTTACAAACACCGCAGTCGCCACAACTGTTGGATTTCCAGACTTGAATTTGAAATGACAGCTCAGAAATGATGGCGAAGCTTCTGCACTGTCAGAATTGTTACTGCACCTCAACATGACACATGGCAGTGACTGTCACTGTTACATTGCTCGCATCCATCAGAATAGTGGCATAGGCACCCTGTATACAATGGAACGTATGGATGAGGAGGTAGACAGTTACCCATAACCACAGACCCACAGCCTTAATCGCTGTATCAACGCTGACCTTAAACATCTGTACAAACAAATCTGCCTGCGGATCAGTGGCTATGGGCAACATTAACCTTACTGCGAGAGCCAAGTGAGAGTCAGGAAGTGAATGTCCTCTGGCTTGCGACCTTTCACCTCTGAACCCCGCGTCCTGTCCACTCCTCAGTCAGCATAGAGGATGAATCCTGAGAAGGTGCTGTATTTGTTGCTGTTGCCCCCGTGAGCCTTGCCCCCATCGAGTTTTATGAAAACCTCATCGCCTGCATCCAAATGAAGGATGACACTGTTGCTGGCGTAGTCATAACTCTGGTCCTGGTCTTGAGCAATGGCGCTGGCCCTGACCTGGAATATGACATGCACAGACAGACAAGGAGAGTGGAAGCAAAGAAATGTAAGGAGGAAAAGATTTCCAATGAAGAATTAATATAATGCATTACTTATCTAACAGATATTAGAAAAATGCATTCACTCATCATCATAAAATCCAAATGATATTCATAATTATACATTATTATTAATAAAGCCCAAAGGACAATATTAAGACATAACTGGAGTCAATGATGATACTAATTTGATGCAAACATTAACATGAGTTGCACTTATTCGCCATGTATGAGCTGCCATAAAAAAGTGTGGCCTGAATTTGAGAGTTGGTGTAAAGTGTGTCCCCTGTGGTGAATATCTTGTTTTTCTCTCATGACTCAACTGAAAGGGTCAGGCTTGAGTCAGTTTGCCTCCGAGGAAGGATGGCAGCACACACTACCCCTTTGCCTCATGTTCTACTCTTACAGTACAGCCACCTTGTTTTGGGGAGGAGCTCTGAAAATGCCACGTTTTCCCGAATATAAGTGTCATCGTGTCAACCCGGGGGTAATTACTGAGAGTGTTAGAAGTTGCTTTGCGTGTACAGCTAGCCACTGAAAGGACATATCCCCTCTAAGCTTTAGCTCGTGTATAATGATCTGGGTTGCCAGGTTGGCTGTTACGCTGCAACTTCACCGGACCGACCATAAAAATGTAATCCCTGCTACAGCCAGATTGTGACGACAGGTTCTGTTAGAGCCAAAATAGGAACATGGAGTTCTAATTAGTGCCAATGGAGTACAAAAGTGTATGTCAAGAGGCCGCAGGCTCTGAGAGGAGAGGTTGAGCCACAGATGACAGCATGATGATGGATTTCTGAGACATGAGGGCAACGCAGCCTAAACTCCCCTCCCTCCCTGTGTCCACTCTCAGCTCTATTGCAACAGCATGATGTCCACCACTGAATGAAAATGGAATTTATAGTAATACGGTATCATACTGTATGTCGGAAAAGTGAAAATTTGACTAACTTGTATGAGTAACGGTATACTTTTAATCAGGGACGTGCAGAGTATAGTGGCTAAAGTGGCCTGTCTTTTCCCCCACTCATGGATCGAAATGAATTACACAGTTAATCATCACATTATTGTGATTGCTGTTCATTAATTTATATGCACCTTTTTCCTTTAGACCTTCCTTTTTTTTTTTTACTTAATGTGTGAATAAACACAAATTAAGTTTTATCATTATGTAGGTGATTTAATCAGCAGTTATAGTTTTTCTTTGCAGGTTTGCCTGAAGCTTGAAGTTTACATGACTGATTCGTTCTTAATTGGTCCTCAACCACATAGGGATTGTGAAACTATTAGCATGAACCTTTGTAATGTGTGTTAGGATTTGGCAAAATGTTAGAGGGATTTCTGATGGTTTATTTTCTTTAGCTATTTAATTCAATGTTCCATTTAGATATCTTAGTGCTCACAGTGGCTTAAGACAGTGTGAGACTGTAATGGATTCATTTTCGACTGTGGTAAACAAAGTAAATGTAGCTCTATATATGAAACTTCATATCTGGTGTTGCAGTGTCATTGCCCTCTAAAGAAAGCAGACAGAGGCAGAGAGGTTAAGAGCTGGAGGAGGCCGCTTAAGGATGTCTTTACAGAGCAATAGTCTGCCGACAGGTGAATCACCATGATTAGAATATCTAGCTACCAGTTCTTATACTCTGTGTCTCCACTAAGTGTATTTGTCCGTTTAATACTTGTTTTATTATTACCTTTCTATTACATCTTCTATTGCTGCTTTTTAAGTTTAATTTCTATGCATTTTTTTTTGCAATTTAAGTGGATCTAAGTGGTAAGAAGTGCAGTATGTTTGTGTTTGGACATACATTTTATATGATGTAGTGTATCAACATTGGTAAGAGGAGAGGGGAAGGGTGGGGGTGCCCTTTTTTTAAATTTAGCCACTGCCTCTTAAAACGTCGGTGCACATCCCTACTTGTAACCCTATTTACAAAAAATCTATCTTACTTTAACCATTCATAACTATTTTAGTGGAGATTGGTGGGGAGGATGTGGTGTTTTTGTCTTTGTTTGCAGTCCATTCGGTTCCTTAGGGACAAAAGACACCTTACAGTATGATACAGTCCAATATGACAAATCTGTTTGGTTTATCTTGCAATCCAACCTAGTAAAACACCGACAACTATGGCCACAGAGTTAAAAAATGAATCTCTATTAGTTTAACAAATATGGCATATACTGTGTGTGTGTGGTCATTGTACTGAACTGACTAATATACTAGTACTGTACTAATGTACAGGTATTTGTGTGTCCACTCTGCGCTGCCTGTTGCAGCCTGGCTGAGATGTTTGCAGGAAACTGTGCAGGCTTAGATTCACTTGGTGTTTGATCAGTGTCATCACCTGCGGCTTTAAAGACATTATAAAATTATCCATGAACATAGCAAATATTATGATTTGATATTGAAACGCCTGGGCCTGACAGCGAAGTCTGATAACACATACTAGCACATCATGGCTCCATGAAGTTTGTTGTATTTCAAAGGGCACCAGCTTTGAACTAGCCACTACCCCAGGCTGTGTTTTGATGTGTGCAGAGTTGAGATAGCGCTGCACTCCTTCCACTCACTTCAACGTGTACATCATTGGATGTGTAATATGCACAGATATACAATCTGGCAGCGTGCCACTGTGCATTGTCATTATACTGGACTATAACACCAAAACAAGATAGACCTAAAATCACTATCCACATGAATGCATGACTACTCAATTTAGACTGCCAGCACACTGGTTACACTGTTCCTTGAGCATGTTGATGTGAGTTCATCCCAGTGTATGATTCAGGGAACTCATAATGTCAGTAAATGGATAATTCTCGACTATTTGATCTGTGTTCATTACGCTTGTTAAATTCAACAGTAAATCATTAAATATTAGGTTGTGTTTTGAGAAGGTGTCTGAAGAGTTAAAAGTGTTACCCACCAGGCCATTCTTGATCAGGTCAGCCCACATGCTGGTGCCATCTCCTCCTCTCATCAGGACATTGTAGATGAAAAAGTAGGTGCCAGGAATCTTACAGGTGAACTTGCCCGTTGCACCCTCATAGTTGCCACCAATATTAGTGACCACGTCATCAAATCGTAGAATATCATAACCTTCTTGAGGGTTTCGTAGTCCTGCGTAAAATGCCACGCGAGGCGTGGTGTTGTACGTGGTTGTGCTAACTGCCCCTTTACCCCCTAAACCTAGAATCCCTGTCCGTACAATGTCCACACCATCTCCAGGTGGTCCCTTAGGTCCTGGTGGACCTGGTTCTCCAGGTGGGCCTGGGGGTCCAGGCTTGCCCGGACGTCCTGGTTTGCCCTGTGGGCCATGAGCACTGTAAGTAGGCAGCGGTGGGCCGATGCTGTGGTCACTCAGATCTGCGTCGTTGTCCACCTGTAGGCCTGTGGTTGCTGTATCTGTTCCTGGGTGCACACCTGTGCCTGTCGTGCCCGTGCTGGGGAAGGGGTCACAAACCATGCGGCAGGTACCCAGCATCTCGTAGTGGCTCGCACTGTCATCTATGCCACCTGTGCCAACGGAGCTGACCAGCACAGGAATAAGGACCACCAGAACCAGGACCAGCATGACCCCCACAGCAGCTGCCACCAGGGTCTTCCGCCCGATGCTCAGCCGGGGAAGGGGCTGTGCAGCCACCGTGGAACTCTCCGGGGTGGAAATGGTGACTGCGGGGAGTGCGTCCACCTGGCAAAACGCAGACACACTGAGGATCTCCGATGGTGGAGATGGTGCCCAGGGAGAGCTGGTATGAGTGTGTGAGTGAGTGACAGAGCAGTGTAGGAGTAAGGGAGAGGGAGTGGAGCAAGGGACCGAAGTGATCAAAAGGAGAGAGAGATTGAGAGAGTGAGGAGAGAGAGTAAGAGAAGAGGAGGAGGGAGAGAGTAAGACAGCTTGAGAGGGGAAAAAAAGAAAAGAAGCGAGGGGAGGAGAGAGTGAGCAACATACACTCACTAGCCATCTGAGTCAGGGCTGAGGAGGGCACTTTCCTGCTGGCAGATGTGAAAAGCCAGGGAAGCCAGAGTGTGATATATAGAGCACAGAGAATCAAATCATAATCAATCAGTTCATGTTGGGATGATGAAGATAGAGATGGAAAAAAAGATTTTGAGGGAAGTTTGCTTAGATCAGAAGGAATGTTTTGGGAAGACCTGCTTCCACTGAAATTGATATACTCGATTCTTGTGGTCATGTGCTGTACATTTTTCAATAATATTAAACAGTTGGCATTGATTTTGTGCACTTATGTAAGAGAATCTTTTATTTTGAGTGCAAGAAGAACTCAATTGAGACATTTAATAGCCAGCAGCCAGACATAGATATAGATTTAGCCTGATATAGTTTCTTAGTTTAATGTGAGACTCCGTGTTTATCAAGGTCATAATGTGTAGGCTTATATTTTTCCTTATCTGCCTGCGTGTGTATATGTGTGTGTGTGTGTGTGTATGTAGCGGGAGCTCTTGTATACTGGAATGATTCCAAGCATCTGTGGTCAGTCAAGCTGCGACCTTCACAAAATCTGCAAACTTTTAAAGGGGCAGTTCAGAATTAAAATGACTAAAATTCAGTTTGATTACAACATTGTTATTATAATTCCTATTGGATACGAAATTATTTTACTCACTCAATTAATTGCTGAGACCTTGGTTTGTTGCATATCATTAGACATCAGTAGAGCAAATGACAAGATGGTGGTCCGGCAATGAAACGGATGTCCGACACCACTACTGAAATCAAAGGTGACTATTATAATATTATCCAAACCCAGCTTTGAAATATTACAGCAAGCCATACCAGTGAGCCTGAATTCACAGCTGGCACCTCAACAGCATTCATCTACTATAAATATCAATAATGAGGCTACACCTGTGCTTTTCCTGCTATAACATGTTAAAGTGTGAGCTGAATACTCTTAACAACTTACAACAGGTGGTTATAAATACATACATAATTAACCAAGACAAACTTTATCTTTGTTTTCTCAGATTTCTGTCTAAATAGAATAAAACTTTTGTTTAGGCAGACAACTGGAGCTGGCATATTCTTTACTTGCCTAACATGTATCAAAAAACACCATTCACTAAGAAACACTGCTGCTAATTGCTACTCTTGCGTTTCATTGGGAAGCTAAGCTAACATGTTATTTCAGCTAAAAGTAATAGGACTTTTCCTCTGGTATGCAGGCGACCTGTGCTTCCCTTCACCAGTTAAGCTAAGTATTTGTTGCTGAAGCTAACAACAATATTTACAGTGGCATTAGTTGTTGTTTTTATTATTTATGAGCTTTTCATGCTGATATAAAAACTTATGTTTGAGTATTGTATCAGTTGAGCACATATTTTAGGTTGATGCCTTTATTCCTATTCTATTGGCTCACAACAAACTATTAGCTCACATTGTTTTGGCTATAGCAATATAAACATTAGTGGTATTTTTTTATGTTATTTATATTTGCAGAAATAAGAAATTCAACATAGACTTGTCACGCACAAGATAAATAGACACATTTACAAAGGCAAAATTCATTGATTTATGTCTCAACTTATTTCACTTTTTACCATAATTACACCTAAACTGCAGAGCACCTGTTCGACTCATTGTCATGCTAGTAATCATACTGCTTATTAATGATGAGTTATAACATTACATAAGCAAAGATTGTTTGCTGCTTATTATATCTGAGTGAGTATTAGTCTGCTGCTACATTTTCAGGTGAACTTCTAGGTTTACATGGGTATTAGTCTCCATTTCTAAGATGGTATATTCATTGGAATAGTTGTAGATTTTATTGAAGAAAGGCTTCATGGCGACTGGTGTCTTCTACCTAATTGCTGGTGACTCTGTATCTAATGTCTAATCTATGTTTTGCTTGGTGTATGCTTTTGAGAAATCTCGTGTTCCAAGCCTGAACGCTAATGATCAATTCAGTACATATTCTGTATTAACAAAATAAACCCGTTCCACATGAGTTGGCTGAATAAACTCATACTTGCCCAAACTCAGTGTGCTGGCAGAGACGACTCTGCTTGATTCAGAAACCACTGCCAGCAGTCTGTTCAGTCAACAATTTTCAAAACTCAACTAAGTTGATTTACTGATATGATTTACAGTATTTTAATGTCTCTTAATAATTCCATGATGGATCGGTCATGTGAATGGCCAGACAAGAAAAGTAAAACTATATGTTAATTAATTAATATACTAATAAGCATAATATGTTCAGTAAACTATCTGCTATCTGACTAAAATTGTAATATAGACAGATAGCAGTTTCCTTTGTTGGCTGACGTATTAAAACTTAAACCTTTTTAACCAAAGAGACCCTTCATTGGGTTCATTGTCATTGTATTTCAGGATGCCCACACGTTTCCATAAAGGCCTCGATGAAGCACTGAACATGATGCTCATGTTTTGTTAATCTGTCAACTATACACAGTCAATTTTATACACATTTAATAATGACCCTCCTACAAATTAACCAAAACAAACCAAGTCACATTGAAGCGAGTTACGTGCCACAGTGCGCTACAGCATGACTGAAAATGTTGGAATCATCCTGTGATATCAGACTTTCATGAGAATACTATAAGCAGAGAGTTTTGTGAGTCTTCTCCACATTTTTGATGCTGCTGTTGTCACAGGTCACGACAATGGTACTGAGTCAGATACCTCGAGCAGTGCTTTCTTGCTGAGTCTCCCCAGTTAATGACAGTATACACTAAATCGGAGCGATGACCACATGGTCAGTATGACGGAAATCTTTAATCTTAAATATTTTATGATGAAAATTATCCTAAATATAATAGAGTATGTAGATTTGTGCCCAGGTATATCACATAGAAGGTCAATATAAACTATATTTGTCATGGGATAAAAAGAGGAATTGACCAAAACAAAAAAATGACATAACACTGTTTAAAACGGTTAAATGTAAAAACTTAAAATAAATTGCATCACTCTCTGAAACAGTATATACTGTGTGTCAGCCTTCTCTATGAAGTGATACACAAAGACTTTGCTCTATTTGCAGACTTTAGTGCCCTCATGTGGCGTTTTTCACACAGCACTTTTCTTCTGCCCTCAATACTGCACGTTGATCCAACAGCGAGCCAAACACACTTTCAATACATGTTCAAGACAGTAGTTTACCTTAAGGGCTTTGGAAGCAATTTGTAAAACTGTGGAAACAACAACAAATGTAATCATAAAGATGAATTGAATGGATTTTGGATGATGAATTGTCTGGATGCCCCTCACAAACTTCCATTCCAACTCACTATTTTCATATTAATTCTAATTTAACTGTAAAGTTTTCCAGTAAGGGATCCTCTGCACCACAAATAGTACTACTAAGTCCTACTGACTTCTTTATTGATCTGATATGGGACCAAACTTTAAATACCCCTCAATGTCTCAATTTAAAGTCTATATGAAAACATTCAGGGCTAATGAACTGATCTTACTTACACTGTGATTCAGAAGCAGGCGTCCTAACTAATTTAAGAAAAAATAATACCAAAATGTAATATTTAAATCCTCCAATCCTTCTCATTGTTGCTACACTGTTCACTCACTTGCTCTTGAACTTTAGAATTACTAGTTCTGTATCTACCAAATAACTTGAATTCACTATGTTTTGTTTGTACTAAAGCTGTTGAAATTACAATATGTTATCATATATTTACTTGTCCTTGGCCTTGCAACAACACTTCCTTACGAAGTGTGTCTTGCCACACAGAATCAGTATCATCATAAATAAACTACTTCTTCTTCTCTTTTCACACTCTTCGGGCAAAACGTGCACTCGGTTTAGCCTCTGTCCTTTATATAGTATATACTTCTTCTCTACGTTCCCCTTTTACTGAGTGCATTTACTTCTTTCAACCAGAGGATGGCGCCCACTGCTCACTCTTGAAGATATTTAAAAAAAGAAAAGAAAAGAAAAGAAGCAAGACACTAATAACTGAACCATAATGAAGAACCTTACATTAAAAACTTTTTGTCATACAACATCATATTGAGCAACAATTACAACTCTCTCGGTTATATTGTATTTTGATAAAGCATCCAAGAACAAGTCTATCTCAGCATGTTTTTGTGCACTACAAATTCAAGATTTACGGTGCTGAGTACACGCACTGTTTGCACTGTCATGTCAGAACATTATACCACCTCCACACAACAGCAGGAACCATGTCTTATCAGCCCTACAGTGAGGGAGGGAAGGTGTAGACCACCCATCTTGTGAGCAGACTTGCTCACATTCCAGCATGGACACACGGGGACGGCCTTGTCAGTAACTTGAGAGCAGAGGAACAGGCAGACCATCTTTGATGTCTATATTCAGGATGGACTCTACTGGATAGTGCATTTATTTGACTTTTAGTGGAGATGTGGGGTGAAATATATTTGTCAATAAGTCTATTGATTTTTTTTTGTATTAAGGTATAAGCAAGGTAGACATAAAAACTATATTTTTGAAGTGAGAAATTACATCCTGCACTCCATGTTTACTTAATAAAAGAGGGTATTTAACAAAACGTAGGTGTCTGTGGTGAAGTGTAACGCATAGGCCAAACAGCAAAGTTAAGATAATGTAGGAATCCTGATCTCTTCAATGTGATTATCTGTTATTGGCATTTGGTATAACAGCTCCTTATATAAAAAGAAAAGCATATCAGCCCCTTGTATGTTTACACAAGGGTTCAAACAGAGTAACTTCCTTGATTCTTTCTTTTTGGACTCTTCCTTTTTAGGAAATGGGCCGCTGCCTTGCAGTCCCTCTTGGGATTCTGTGGGAATTCCTTAGCTGGTTTACTTGGCAGTTGGTTTTTCAATCCTCAAATATTGTTATTTTAGGGTGTGAGGTTGGGACGGAGAAGGAATTGAAAAAATGTGCGATGCTGCCTCTGG